CTTTGTTAATTCAAGTCTTTGTATATTACCTGGGTTTGTTTTATCATCGCCACTATAATTCCCATCAAAATGTAGCCCTGACACCCCTCTACATTTTCCACTGAGATTGGTAATGGTATGACCCATCTGTCACTGATTCAGATCAAGGTTATGACATCACTAAAAACCCTAGCATTACAATCTAAGCTAATTATTTATTCTGAGAATGCTCAGTTGTTCTCTCAGTGGTGTGGGAGAGGTTGTCTTGGATGAAAATCATGAAAAAGACCCACTAAGGATTTTCAGATCTGGAAAAAAAATTATGTGCATATTCGGCAGAGACTTGTTCATCAACCTGCCAAGTTTCATCGATATCTGCTGCAGAATTTCTGAGAAAATGTTAGAGACGTCACAGACAGAAAATTGAAATAAGAATTAATAGTCCACTTTTTAGGCTGCGCCTGAAACAGGGACTAATCACCTGGTGAGAGAGTATTCTAAAATTGCCATACAGATTTGATACTGTTTATATTTTTAGATCAAAACTGAAGAAATTTTCAATTTGGAAGGAAGCCAATATTGCTGTTGTTGCACTGATGGTTGGAAAACAGGAAATGCCATGTTTTGTGAAAATGATGGGATGACAATAGGGGTCGATGAGTTGCAGCACTGATGGTTGGATTAGAGAGAATACAGTGTTTTGTGGAAATGATGAGATGACAATAGGGGGTCTATGAGTTGCAGCACTGGTGGTTGAAATAGAGAGAATACTGTAATAGTGTTTGTTACTCTTATTAAAAAGGCTATGATGTACATACACACGTAACAGCTGTACTGATTATAAGCAAAGCATGTGACCTACCTCTGGTTTGTACATGGTTCGTAAAATGTGAATTAATATTTATATCCCTTCTCCCTCCCAATGGTGTTTCTGCAAAGATAAAGACCAATATGAATAAATCAAGTGATAAATTGATGCATTGAAAAATACAGGGATTGATATAATTTAAATTCTGATGTTAGAATCACAGTTTAACAACAGATAATTATTTAAAATTTGCAGAAATAATTTATTAAAACACACAGTTATGCATATATAGACAGACACCAAAACCATATTTTGAAATAAGGTTTGTTCCTGAATATGAACTAACTGTCAATAAGTAATTACAGTTGTATAACAACTCTATTTTTTCAAAAAATAAATTATTTATAAAACAATATCTATCATTACATGTATTGTCATATTTAATATCCTACTTACTCAATTAGTCGCGCACCGACTTACGTAAATAACGCAGTTGTGTAAATGGTTAAAAATAAGTCATATTTCAATGATCTGGCACTGAATAAATGCAACTGTTGATTTACAAATACTAATACAGTATAATTTTTTTGGAGCATTGGTTATAAAATCTGAATTATGCAAATATAGCTATTTAATATGCAAGGATTTGTTTAAAAAACTGAAACAGGTACAATATGTGTTGTAAAGACCTTTTTGCATTGAAATGAACATTCATAATTATTAGACTAATTAAGATTATCAATATGCACAGTATTAAATCAAAACCTGATCAGATTAGTCACACAGACAGACAGACAGACAGACATACCCATGACATTACTTTCCGTTCCGTAATCTACTCTAATCAGTATATAGGGGTTTAAATTTTGCATAGAAGGCAATGAATTACAGACTCTAATAAACAAATTATAATTTAAAGAAACAATTAAGTCGTAGTGTAATAAATAAAAATACAAGCAGAATGACATGCTTGCTTTTAATTTGCAATAGATACCAAAAGCTAATCAAGAGGAATCTTGTTAGTGAAAAAAAAAAAATACATGAAGAATTATAAGAGAGTCAGAAATGAATTAATATGAATATAAATTGGAGAAAAATAATCTGAATGGATATTGTCAAGCGTATGAAAGTAATAGAATGAAAATAATGTCATACATACTTTATAGTAACATGAGAAAAGGATTGTGTGATTTGATTACAAGAGGAGAACCATTCAATTAATAGTGATGACGCACAGCTTAGGTTTTGCAAATGTCACACTGAGTTAGCCTTGGTTAATAAGAAGGTTAGAAGGATGGGAAAATGTCACATGTGTAACCTAAATACAGAAAATAAGCTGATATGATTTATGATAATCAATTTCCAAATGGAGCAAAATTATAAAGGGCACCAAGGCAAACTTACTGGACATTATGTAGAGAAGTGAAGTCCTGCCTATATTGTACAGCTTTCACTGCACACACAATTACAATGCCTGATGCCACAGGTAGCAATGAAAATCAGAAATTTGAATATCATGAATGAAGAACCATATATACCTTTCAGACTTTTAACTAGTTAAACTTGCACTCGGTGAGTATTCATTGTGTCTATTATGCAACATATGGCCTGGATTTGAACAAATTGTGGGAAATTTCAATGCTTTTCATTGTGATTCATCATTTTTTTTTTTTTTTTTTAAAGCCTTTGCATTTTTAGCATGTTTTGTTATCGTCGCTTGGGACTCAATTCCCGCATGTGCACAGGAGACTACCCTCCCACTTTAAAAAATATTTTTATTCGTTTTCATGAAATATATACACAAACACAAAGGATTACACTACACAGAGAGAAAAAAACCAAAAGATAAATGCAAAAATTGATTTGACATTTAGTTATTTAAGTTATCGCAATATCCCTAAATTGACAGAATTGAAGATATTGTCACGAAATATTCAAATCAACTAGAGGTCCACCCAAGAATCATATGTATTAAGTATGAAGGCAAAAGAGTTAATGGTGTTCAATAGAAGTTGTTTAAAGAAAAAGCTGACGTGAGACAACAACCGACAACTGCCTATACCAACAGCTTCACCTGTCATATCGATGACATTGGAGCTAAAAGATTCACAAATGAAATAATTCTTCACTCAGTTTTAATTTTGCTATTTTCAGTGATAAGTGATAAGTATAATTAAATCCATATGAACATAAAACAATAACAATAGAAAGTAATTCATGAAATTAAAACTCGCCAATGAGTAAGCTATAATAATACCAATAGCGAATTGTCAGTAAAAAATATCGCTTTTTACCAAGTTTTTATTAAAAAACAAAAGAAGAAAATGTACAATATCTTTCTTAAAAGGAATGAACTGAACTAAAGATAAGTGACCTTAAAATCATAAGGTTATACCAAAATAAACAAGACTATCTGGTTACATGGGTGGAGAGCTGAACATTCTTTAATGAACAAATTGGACATTACACTGACATGAAGCAGACATAGAGATCCAGGGTTCAACTTCACCCAGAATAGACATGTTCCACTTTCACAAATATTATTAGTATGGGGTTGAGATACAAAAACTGAGCAAGTCCTTTTTTTCCCTTCACTTAGTTTACAGCCGTTCTGGGAATTATTCGGACAGTTAGTTAGCAATATATTATGGAACTTTGCAAAACACTTGGGTCTTTTCCAATCTAGACTTGATGGCGCTGTTGTATTGGCACGCCCACAATTGGAATCATTCCATTATCTTGCAAGATGCGGGTAAAACGCTGATTTCAAAACGACACGCGTTGGTTTCCATATATTAACAGGTTATATGTTGTATATGCATTCAAAGTGTTATTTTAAATTGTTATAACCATCTGAGTCCACCTGACATAGCGTAATTTACTCCCGAGTGTTGAGTAACCGTAGGTATTATTGAACTCGTCATTGGCGGGAAGACTCAAAGTAAAGTTTCTTAGCAGGACGCGCTGCAGTTTCGCAACAGTTTTGGGCCAAACTAAAAGTTGTTTTTACATTACTGGTGCATTATGTATCAAATTCAGATTTTATACCGAGGGTGGAGAGTACGTCAGGGATACACAGACGGAAAACTCGATTATAATGGTTTGATGGATTTTGTCAAATCAAAAGTGCCTTCCTTGATCGAATCACTTTTTCAACTGCAGTTTGAAAATGACGGGGTATAATGACCGTTATTATGTCCAGTCCATTTTTGTAACAGGTACAACTGACTAAAATGAGCGAGGGGGTTGACATTTTTCGACAGATTTAAGCGACACCCAACTTGTGATTTTCAAAATTACTGAAAATAATTACAATATAATTATAAAAAAATAAAGAATGGTTGCTGTAAATGCACGCTAGATAATACTTACAATTCACCAAGCCGACAACCCCTCTGAAATAGTAATTCCAAACCACGCGCCCGTCACTCAAGCAGCGCCGTCAAGTCTAGATTGGGCAAAGACCAAAGTGTTTTGCAAAGTTGCAAGTCATTTTGCTAACTGACTGTCCGAATAATTCTCAGAACGGCTGTAAAGCTATTAAAATAAATTGTTTTACTTTTCTCTATCAAAGGAGTGTGGGGTGTTTTCTGTAATTTTCTCTGTAGGATTTTGCAAATAAATTAAACAAATAAATTAACTTTGCTGTGCCAATATTTCAACTATTATATATCACTGAAAAATTGGGAGAATCGGTAGAAGAGATACAGTGTAAGATCATTTCGGAATACTATAAAAGAGATTCAAAGGCTCATTGGACATCAGCAACATAAGGCAAATAATTAAAAAGACATACAATACTTTTGAGACAACTCAACCCCTGCTGTAAACAGCTCTGATTCCGAAGTTCGCAAGTCAATGAAGATGTTGATGTAATTTCGTAGCATTGAAAATTCTATATGACGCGGAGTGTCCGAAACTTTCACAGATTTTTGTCTTCATGAATGCCATGAAATCATCAAATTACAAAAAATATTCCAGTCAGCAAAAATTAAGCTGTTTACAATAACTATAATCAATTCATTCATATAATAATTCATTGTTTGTTAAACTCATGAATTCCTTCAACAAGTTGAGTTCACAATACAAGCAGGTGAAATTCCTGAGAACTCAAGGTTAGTCAGACCACAATACATGTAGGTCAAAGGGAAAACAAAACTATTCACAAAACAACGACTATAAATATCTAACAATACAAGTCAAAGGTGTTGTGATCAAAATCAAACCAACTTTGTTACATATAAATTAGCAGCGCCACTATTTAAAAATGTATATTGCATATGTATCACCCCTCCCATAAAATGGTTTATCCCATAAATTACATTAAAATACATCTATGACAGGTGTGTTTTGACCTAGAATACTGGCCAACATACATACATTGCAAATATAGTATACTATATATATAGACAATTTCCAGGAAAACATGTGTTCAGCATGCATAGTTGGCCTATGATAAATGACCTCTTAAAACCATGAATGCCTGCAGAATATTTTATATATAACTTTAATACTGTTAACATTTAATGCATCTAAACATTTTATTAACTTCCTCAATAAATCAATTGACACTTTCATTGTTGCCACAAAATTTAATCAAGAAATAAATCGTCGAGATGAGTACAATTTGAAAAGACGTTCAGACAATATTATACATAGTGGTATCAGAATAATTCAATTATAGTTAATTTAATAGTTAATTTATTTTTGAGTAAGTTTATTAATTATTATAATTATACATAATTGTGGAGGACACAAATAATGAAATTGTAATTACTGTATGAAGGGATATCTAACTCTTTGGTACCAAGGCATTTAGAAAAGGGAGAGAAGGGAGGGGTATTTAGTCCCCATTAATTTTGAGTTTTGCAACTGTATAAAATGAATAATGATACACAATAGTTATTCTTTCATAAGTGTCCATAACTGGGGTGCCATATGCATACATGTATGAAAGCATTAGGCCTCCACTTCTTAGTTGTCAATGTCCATATGAGCACTTCATGTAGGTCTCCACTGAGTGCCACATGTACATTAAAGCATTAGGCCCCCACTTCTTAGTTGTCAATGTGCATAGGAGCACCAGGTCTCTATTGCGTCACAAGCCCAATAGAACA